GACCAAGACGCTGGGCTGGGGTTAGATTGGAGACGGGATGTCTTTTTGAGAAGCGTGTTAGAAGTGTGAGAACAGATGCACCTAGCATACGAAATTTTGCATCTATCACTTGATGGGGACCTTGTGGCTTGAAACTCAGAGATGGGAAAGGATTGAGAGGCAAACGTGTATCGCTGTTGCTTATGCTGCCTTTATGTTCTTCATCGCTCTGCTTTGCCTTTTGTCGCAGGCGTTCGTGAAGTATGCGCAAGCTGCCAACAATCTTTTGCGTTACCCGGGGACCTATGTTTTGAGTGGGTGCAAAACTTGGTCCCATGTTCAGGACTGACAATGCAGCTGCAGAAAGAGGAACGTTTCCAATGACAGACACACGAGAATCAGTAAATGCAGACTGGGATGTTAATTCTGTGGTTGTGGTAGCTGATGTTGGTCGTTTAAGATTCGAGAGACTCGCACTGGTACGCTCAGATGATTCGCGTTCCTGCTTTGCCCCTACCAATCTGTCGAATTTCACCTTTAACCTGGATTTAGCGTTAGAGCGAACAGAATCACAAATGCATTTTGACCTACGCACGATTCTCTTCCAAAGAGCAATAGGCACCAACCGTTCGCAGCATTGTTCTTTAGAAATACATTTCTTCAACATAGAAAACATAAGATTTTGTTTTGACTTAAGTGCTGCCCGTAGGATGCGTTGCTCTATTTCTTGTAGTCGTCTGCTTTGCCTGGTAAGTCCACACGTTTCTTCAAGGTGCTTGTTTGCAATGAACTTCGGGATCACGTTGTAACGCAGACAACGGCGTAGGAAGAACATTGTTTGTTTCACGCAGACTATCTGTCGCAATGATAGAACTTCTTTGAATAATCGAGAATGTTTGGCTGGTACATCTTTGATCGAAGTCCAAGCTCGATTATCGATGAATCTTGGCATGAGGTAGTTATTTGTATTCGTATTCTATAGCCAATACCCAAGATTGTTAATACGTTTTATTCAGTCAGGCCAACGTTTCGGTGCCTTCACCTTCGTCAGAGCCTGGAAGATCGCATACATTAGTGGTCTGCTCCCCAAACACCTCCTTCAAGCCAAGGCTACACTCAACATTAAGTTAGTTCGAAAGCAGTGACGGAAAGCATCGTCAATGCGTACCTCGGCGATCTTCGAATCAGGGTTGAGCAACCACCAAACACAGCGTCTGCACAGTTAGTAGTGGCGAAACTAGTATAATTGCTTTATATAGATGATTCTAATCTCGGTGTAGATCAAATCCGCAGAGGGACTAATACGAGATCAGATCACTATTCATGGCGACGCCCTCTTCCTTGCGGTTCATTGCTGGAGCTTTGGATGTTATCCAAAATGCTTCCAGCGTTTTACGACTAACAATTTCGGATTCACGCGTCAAGATTGTGACAGCTATATCAAATTGTTGATCTGAGTTTTCCTCTCTGCGATGTGCGCCGAAGGATGTGCGCCTATTGTAAGCAGTTGTGGAGGTCCCAGTGATAGGATATCTTGGCTGCTGAACTTGATCCTCACGCAATTGCTTCGATATATTCCTGCGCACCTAACAAACACTAGCATGTTCCTTGAACAAGTCAGTAAAGCACCGCTAAGTGAAGAATGTGTCATCGAATCATTCGATGTCACTTCGTTATATACGAATGTGTCGAATGAAGCGGCCATGGAAGCGGTCTACGAGATACTGAACGAACACCACGGTTCAATCAACATGTTCGGTTTCAATATCCGGTAAGTGATGGTGCTCTTGAAAGAATGTCTTAGCTGCAGCGTTTTTCGGTGGTGCGGACAGTACTATAAACAAATCAGGGGATTGGCAATGGGACAGAGGCTGGCACCTGTCGTTGCCATTGCCTATATGTCAAAAATCGAGAGCCCCGTACTTGCGCGCAAACCAATACTTTATTGCCGCTATATAGATGATTGTTGTATAGTGTGCGCAACGCAAGACAAACTAGACACTTGCTTCATTCTCTTGAACAGCCAATCCCCGCACATAAAGTTCACACGAGAAAAGCCCCGCGAAAACTGGCTGCCTTTTCTTAACGTTCAAGTGCAATTGCGTGATGGATCATACAGGACCAAATGGTTCCGAAAACCAAGCAGCAAAAATATATTAGTTCACTATCTCTCGACCCATCCTTGGAGCACAAAAAGGTCGGTAATTTGTAATATGTTTAAGACTGCCAAGGCGGTCTCCTCTGATGAGGAACGCGCTACATCGTTGAGTCTTGCCAGACAAATTGCACAGTCTAATGGTTACCCCGCAGACCATTCATCGAAACGTACCTGGCAAGAATACAGACCGCGCGCAACCAAAAATGAAGTCAAAATACCTTTTGTGTTCCTTTCATATCTGAAGATTTCAGCAAAGCGATAAGGAAAAGTTTAGAACAAGCAGGCCTAAAAGACTCCGTTAGAATCATAGACGTCCCGCCTTCCAACCTTAGAAAACAACTAATTCGTAATCGCTGTCACGACCGATTATGCATGAATGTCGATTGCGCATCTGCCCATTTGGTCGACCAGGCGATTGCATGGAGGCAGGAGTAGTCTACCAGATAACTTGTCAGACTTGCGGGAAACAATACATAGGAGAAACTGGTAGGCCTCTGTGTGTGAGAATCAAAGAGCACCTAGATGGGCTTACGAAATCTAAATCCAACACCCCCCTAGGCGCACATCGCAGAGAGGAACACTCAGATCAACAATCTAATATAGCTGCCACAATCTTGACGCGTGAATCCGAAATTGTTAGTCGTAAAACGCTGGAAGCATTTTGGATAACATCCAAAGCTCCAGCAATGAACCGCAAGGAAGAGGGCGTCGCCATGAATAGTGATCTGATCTCGTATCAGTCCCTCTGCGGATTTGATCTACACCGAGATTAGAATCATCTATATAAAGCAATTATACTAGTTTCGCCACTACTAACTGTGCAGACGCTGTGTTTGGTGGTTGCTCAACCCTGATTCGAAGATCGCCGAGGTACGCGTTGACGATGCTTTCCGTCACTGCTTTCGAACTAACTTAATGTTGAGTGTAGCCTTGGCTTGAAGGAGGTGTTTGGGGAGCAGACCACTAATGTATGCGATCTTCCAGGCTCTGACGAAGGTGAAGGCACCGAAACGTTGACCTGACTGAATAAAACGTATTAACAATCTTGGTTATTGGCTATAGAATACGAATACAGAAAACATGAGCGTTTTCTGCAGAATTGCATAACTCTACGTAACCAAATCCGTCGGTATCGATTTCTGCTTCGCTATTTGCATTATCAAGGCAAAATGCTAAAGCACTATGACTATTTCACCTGAGTTTAGTAGACGAGCATCAGGAAAAGGCATACTGAATAACTCAGTCCCTCACCAACAGTGCGAAACCTTTGTGAAGGTACAGTAAGTTCAATAGTTTATTCAACAAACGTTTCGCAGATGAGATAAACATTCTGAATGAAAAATCAAAGGCAATAGAACCCTTTATGAAATGTCATGGTCGCTTTGTCAGTCTCACTTAAAAAAAAACTGCGCTCATACGACTCTTAATAAATGAATAAGCTGTGATTATTTAGAAGCTCGATCATCCGGGTAAACTACTACTTCAAGTAAAGTTGACATTTTCGAATAGTATCGCTTTTGAGTAGTTCTATCAGTGAGATGATATTTTGAAGTGTGTACGTCAGGAGGATCCTGCACACCTTTTGAGTTCTACACTAAGTTACATAGCCTTTCCTTCGTACCACTGAGTGATCACACCTACCAATTTGCACAACGAACTCTCATGGACAAAACAGAGTGGTCGAGGAGGACACTGCCACCATTTACGCGCCAACCTATGCGCCACGAGAGCGTCAATCTGTCTAATTGGTTCGAGGCCAGCACTAAACAGGAGGCAAGTGGGAGGCGTGGCCACCGTTCCCTCGCCTCTGCTGGGTTTTGTCGCCTTCCGCACCACACCCGGCAAGAGTGCACGAGCAAAGAGGGGTGGCGCGCACTACACACCTTGCGCACTCTTCGCGTTCTGCGCGGACGGCCTATACTATTAAGAATTCGTGAAACAACGTGTTCAAGCCGAGTGTGATTCAACGAGTTTGAACATGTCCCTCCACGATTTATGATAATGAACCGACCAAAATGCGTTAAAGCTCATTCATGAACTTGTTAATGAAATGAACGCAAAGCGTGATCACGTCGCTTAGTTAGAGAATGAATGATATCTAACAAGCCGACAAGTGAACTGAACCTCCTCCTCCCCCCCTCCCCCCCCCCCCTTCCCCCGTTTACTGTTGCGGAAATGCAAGCAGAGGTTTTGCTGTAGAACATCGGGGGCAAAAAAGTAGATAATACCCACATGCTCGCTGCTCGTTTCCGGTTTGCCGCAGGCACCCTTCTTAGGCGTCAACAAAAATTGGTGTGTAATTGCGACCGTCAGGTCGTCGTTGTCCTCTTCCATCGTCGATGAAGGTTCACATTCGAGGGGGGTGCTTTCTCATGCTCATTTGGATTGCAGTTGAAAAATAAGGTTGATTGGAAATTATTGATTAATTGACGATTTCTTATCCCACCTGGTTCAAATCTAGAGTTTGGCAAACTCAACGCTTTGAATATTTGTAACCCCTTCTTCGTGACTCATGCCAGGAAGTATTCAAAGCTCTTTACAGTTGGAGTATCGCCAATTCGTTACTAGGCGACTACGTCTAGTCCACTATGATAATGCCTTTGTTTCTCTCGTTAAGCGCAATTGGAATCCTTTCTACTTTTACCCAACGAAAAGGCATGAAATCTTTTGCATGGTAGTTCTTTTGCATCTTATTCGGCCTTGCCGCTAGGGGACATTTACAACTTTGATACAATTTTATCTGTTTGCCAGTGTTTGAAAGGTATGATCGCGCCCTACTGAATGTTATGATTTCTTCGTTTTGTTTTCATCATTCAAGTGTTCCTAGTCATTTAGCGCTTAATTTTGATCTCGTGCTTCTTTTCTATCTGGGTCATTGTAATTCTAGGGGAATGCCTCTGGGCCTTTTCGGCTCCTCCTCAAAACCACAGCCACTAACCAGCCTCGATAGCGGTGGCTATAAAGAGAGGAAGGATTCGTCGGAGAAGGATGGACGTGGCACTGTACTTCGACTCGAGAATACTACCGTCACTATTGAAAAGAAACTGGCGGAAGGTGAGTGTTTGTTTTACTCGGTTATAAACCACTTGATGCATGCGACGGAATTTCAACAGATTTATCATAGGTTATTATGGTATCTAAGGAAGATTGAAGTTATTGTAGAACGGCGATAACATGCTGCCTTCTTGAGTTTTTTTTTTGATTTCCGGAGTTCCAAGCAGTGCTTTTTCTTTTCTTTTTTTTTGGAGCATGCAGAACCACTCTTTTACAACTTCCTGAGTGACTGAGAGTAGGTAAAAGTCTCCTTTCATTATACAAAAATAAAGGCACATCTTCACCTTATACAGTAATTTGTTGAATTACTCGGTGGCATCTGGATCTTGTTGCGCACCGTTGTGCATTTTCCGCGAGACGAATCGTACATTTGCACATCTATCATCCTCTGTAAGAAATCGGTGTGTGACTTCAAAATATACAAAAAAAACTGATAATTATTGAGTAATTTTTGAAAGTAAGGCGAGTCTGCTGCTCCGCTTATTGCAATCTGATTTTCAGGGGGATTTGCGATTGTCTATCTGGTCAGTGACAAGCAAAATCGTTTCTATGCGCTAAAGCGGCAATTCATCAATGATGATAACAAGCAGGTTGAAGCATGTCGCCGAGAATCTCAGATTGTTGTAAGTGCTCTCTCTGTTTATGTTTCCTCTGTTTTGCTCTAATGCCCTTACTCTTTTTTATTTCAGAGTAGCTTGAAAGGCCACAAAAATATTGTTAGCTATGTGGATCACTTACTCGCCAAGAACAAATCTGGAATCTACGATTATATGCTTTTGACAGCCTATTACAAGAGTATGCCATTCATGTTTTCGTTATTCAAATCCCTGAGGTAGCGGTTTTTTCCAGCGAGTGTACTTCAACTCATGAACGATCGCCTTGCAGTAGGGCAGAGTCTGCGGTCCAGTGAAGTTCTATCAATATTCTGCGATATGTGCGAGGCTGTTGCTAGACTGCATCACTCCGTGACACCAATTATTCATCGTGATTTGAAGGTCAGTTTCTGAGAAAAATACTCTCACTCATGCTCTTAGTCACAGAAAGGAGATCCTTGTGATCTGTGATGAATAGATTCTACGAAGTTGGTGATACTTTCCAGGTGGAAAATATTCTGATTGATGAGCGAAATAGGGCGGGACCCCCGCTTTATGTCTTATGTGACTTTGGGAGCGCCACTACGAAAGTAAGTCAGCATTGGTTGTTTCTAGTGCGTTATTGATGAGATCATTTGTTTCAGATATTATGTAGCAATAATTACTCCATAAGTTTTATTCAAGATGAAATTGAGAAATACACCACCCTAAGCTATAGATCTCCCGAAATGATTGACCTATATTGCGGAAAACCGATAGGTTTGTTTTATATTCATTTCTTGTTTGTCCTGTAGTAACTCGAGTCACTGTGCGCTGACTTTTTGTTGATGTAGAAGAAAAATATATGGGAATAGACCAATGAGAATGTCATGTTTGAGTTCTTGAAATCAAACTTTACAATTCGTTTTTCGTTCTAGGCACTAAATCTGATACTTGGGCAATGGGTGTCATGCTCTATAAGTTATGCTATTTCTGCCTTCCTTTTGGTGAATCAGCTATGGCTATTCAAAATGGAGCGTTCACGTTTCCCAACGAGCCTAGTCATCCAGATTCGATCAAGACCATCATAAGTAAGTTCTCAAGTTTGCCCTAATATCCCTCCTTCCTTAGAATTTTGATCTTCAATGAGAATATTCCTGCTTCTCTATCTCAGTTTTGTTGAATAGTTGGTCCAACATTCCATTTTAGAGTGTCTGCTGAATGCAGACATAGAAAAACGGCCTAGCATTTACCAGTGTTCAACTTTGGCATTCGCTGCAGCTGAGAGAGTTTGTCCAGTCCGTAACGTTAGAGTAAGTCTTAATTAGTGCTTTTTTCGTTTGATTCCATCCTCATCCACAGGGATGTCGCAAACCGTCCCTCACAACTGCGATGCAATGCTTTCGTTCTGGCGTAGCATCTATGTTTGAGGACGAACCAGAAGATCAAGTTGATTACGTCAGCTCCACGCAGCAAGTTGACAGTGAGTTTAAGCGGCTATCTTCATGTATCTATAGCGCATTATTGTTTTTCTCTTTTTTATCTTGAGAATTTTATGTTTTATTACGTCTTGAAGAGCTTATACAGCATTTAGTATGCAAAAGTAGTATGAAAATATTTCCACTATTTTTCTGTCTCAAAAAAACGTGAAGTTCCCATAAAAGGAAATTGTTCCTTTTGCAACATTTGAGGATTACTTTGGTCATCTTTGTTGTGAAGAGAAAAAAATGTTCTGCTTTGGATGTATCAGTATCATATAAACATGTTTGTTCATATTAATTGCAGCAGCTACTATCGTTTCACTTGCTCCGGATCGTCTGCTAGGAAACGTATGTGCGCAAACCACTTCGGTGCAACCTCGATTACGTCCAAAACCCTCTGCTAGCGCCGGTGCCGTTCCATTCATCGTTGCAGATCCAAAGGTTGTCTTCAAAGTCCTTACCTGTCGCTCTTTGCTTTTTCTGACTTATCTAGCCATTTTCCAGGTGCTGCCTTCTTTTGGAGCTCCTGATAGTAGTGCAGTAGGTGAGCCGAGAAGCAGTAAGTTATTGTTGATTCATGTAAGCATGTCGTATTGTGTTCATTTTGTTAGGCTGTCAAGAAAAGTTGAGTTCGACCAAAGCTACGGTGTTGCCTTCTGATCTCGGTTTCACAGATCTTGGTAATTTGTGTTGAGTATTTGTCTGCAGTTGTGATATGCTAAGGTGTTCCGATTTGATATTGATGTTTAGAAGTAGCGATACCGTCTCCAGACTTGCACGAGATAGTTGAATCATCACGAGGAAGCGCCAATGCAAACCCATTTGAGCAACTTCAAAATGGTAAGTTCTGTTTGCGAATGTTCAATACTTCCCAACAATGTGAACTTTTTACTGTGTCTGAAAAAGTGGATTTCAATTGCAGGTACTCAAAGTATTCTGATTAGTTCTTATATAATGAGACTATTGTTGTTCGTTGGTCAAAAGTTTGCCCTTCAGCTCCATCTACTTGGCCTTCACCTCCTCCTGAAGAGTCAACTTCATCCACCACTTCTTTGCCTCTGTCTGGAAAAGAAGCGAAAGCAGCAGTTGTGCAGTCTCATCGAAGGAACACAAGCGACACTTCGCACATAATACGTAGCGCCTTCAAGTATGTGTTTTTTTGATTAAGCATGTCATTTTGATTCCGATTCTTTTGTCCCATTTGCTAAAATGATTTTTCTAGACCGTATAGTCAATGGAAAGGGACCGAACCGCTCTCATATAATCAAACGTCGGTGTCCAGCACGGGTTTAGACAATGTTTCTTCGTCCAAGAATGAAGTGCATACATTGTTTACGTTTAAACGCTCCTCTTCCTTTTCTTCAGTCTTCGATTGGTTTTCCAGGAATGCTGGAATCCCTTCCTCGCAGCTCCTTTTGGAAGCAGTCAGACAATGGATGATAGTCATTTCGGGAAGTGCTTCGACGAGTTGCCACGAAAGAGTGAAAAGGAAAAAGGTTTGTTTCAGCATTTTATCATCTCCTTCGCTGTTATTGTTCTGCAATATTTCAATCAATCAAAAATTTTCAAGCTTTTCGCTTCAGAAATGACTGATTCAACGCGTGATATCGACCAGTGCTCAATAGACTCCATGGATCCATTCGGTGCTGCACCTTTTGATCCGCCCTGTTGTGAGGACGCTAATTTAGGTGGGCAACATTTTTTTTTCAAATTTCCCCAAGTATACTACATATTCAAGAAGATGAAGCAGAATTGGCTACCAAAGAAAAAGATGATGGAGATTCTGTGGGATCAGCATCCGATCTGCGCGGACGCGCAGTGGTGGGTGGTTTTTCTTGAAATAAATCGCAGATCAATCTATCACGTGGATTTAGGATGAAGACAGTGAACAGGATGAACAGCGAATGGTTGCACGACGACGTTTCAGCTATGAAAATATTGATGGAGTAGGTGATGATGCAAGCAGTGACAGCCGCGGGCGCACAGATCACGACAGTACTGATGAAATCAGTAAGGTTAGTGGATTCAAACCCAAAGAATTTTTGTTGTTAATTATTTAGAAGACCTCTGATTTTGGCGCGAATATTTTGACATATCTATCGCAATAATTTAGAATGAAGAGGAATCATCTTTTGACGAGTTTAACGGCGATTGCGAGTCCTCGCAACACACCGATGTAGCGGGTGCAAGTGACGATGATGGCACTGGTAGTCGACCACTTCTCGAGGATGATGCTCTTGATGATGATGAAGAAGTAAGTGCTAACCAGCTGAATATTTTTTAGAATCTAGTTACCTGTCAATAACTTGTACTTTATATTTTCATCTTTTTGCTACCAACAGTCATCCCAGGAAATCTTCGACGGGCTTTCTTCATCACAAGAACAACAGCTCCAAGATGCCACCAAATCCTTGTTCATTAATGCAGACTTTGACGCTGTTGCTTCGCGAAGAAACACAAACCCTTTTCTTGTGTCTGCTTCGGACGAAACTCCCAAAATTTCACCAATAATGGTGAGGCGTAATTGCTCCATTCTCCGCTTTCTTGCTGAACTCGTTTTTTAGGAACAGTCTATGCCTCCTGTTAGTGTATCTTCGATTTGGATAGGTAAGGAGAATGCTACAGTTGCTCCTGGATTTAGCGATGTGCAACCAACATACTTCCCGCCTAGGTTAGTTGCGAAAAATGTTTGACAATTGCTTCGAGGCCATATATTGTTCCTTCAGGTTCGTTCCTCCACCGCCCAATCCTGTTAGTTATACTTATGCTCCCGCTACTCTTCCCCGCCAGTCAACTCCACTAACGGCAACACCACGTGCTGTACCGAGGCTACCAATCCCTATGGATACCATGATAATGGAGTCGTCTCGAACAATGCCCTCTGTACCTGTTATCCCTACACAACCTGTTATTTCTCATTCGTTTTATCAGACGCCTGCGTCGATACATGTGGGTGACACAATCTGGTCATTTTTACTCCTTCTATTCCTCTATCCGTACAAAATTTGTCTGCAGGTACCAGCACCTGGTCCTATCTTCACAAATATTCCTTCCACTTTTGTTGAACCGGTTCCTCCTCCACCCATCCCGCTCAAGCCTTCCTTCCCCGCCTTTACCGAACATACCGAGGTAGATTTAATTTTTCTGATAGTTGGATACTTCGTTTATCTTTTATAGGATTTGAAACCAAATCCTCCTTGCACAGTCAAAAACGTCGGTCCCGATTTTATTGAAGGTCCCAAAACACCCAAGCCGAAGAAAAGCAAAGAGAAAGACAAAAAACGGTGAGTGGGCATAGCATCTCTTGCTTTTTGTTGCACTGTTTCTATCAATTTATTTCAGGATTGATGTTCCGTTTAGCGGAAGTGAAGTAGAAACGGATGGAAGTGAAGCCGAAATGATGTGCACGAGGTAATACATATGTTTGTTTCCGTTTCTTCGGTGTAAAGGCGATTTAAGTCGTTTCATCCATTCTATACAGCTTTCTATAGCAAGCAAATTACAGTACGTCAAGCGAGAAGGCTATGTCAAAGAAGAAGAGGAAGTCTTTTGGGCTACTTGGCTCGAATCCCTCTGTTGCTCCACTAGATATGAAGCTATCTAATGCACCAACTACAGCTTTGAAGAAATCATCTGGTGGGACAATTTACTTTTGGTTTAACGCATCTCTTATTGCTCAGAAAATAACGAACTCAACTGAAACATTATTTTTGTGAGGTGCTAAGAATAAAGTTGTATCTAGGCAAAAAGTCCTCTACTTCTGCGAGCTCGTCACGCAAGGCTAGTGGTGTACTGAATGCGAGTTTTGTGAACAGCTCGTTCCTGGCTGAGGATCTTGAGTCTCCTCCAAAGCAGCACACACTTCGTCTTTGAGAGTAATATATTTCTATCATCGCATCTCCAGTTTAGTTTGATTCAGTCTCCTGCCAAGAGTTATAACCTTATTATCGTTCAGCTTTTCTTATCTGCATTCACTATCTTGCATCAGTATTACTGTCTTTTCAAACTGAATTGCAAGAACGATGCTCTTGGTCTGAATTCTCGTGTACACTAACTATCTATACATAACTAGTTAATTATACACCCGTTCGCTTCATAGCAGAAGTAGTCTTTCACTTTTGTTGTACGCTTTACAGTATTTCCTAACTTATTATGCTTGTCACTCACATGCAAAGAAACAGTTTTCATTACATATCTTTTCCTTATTATCACAATTTTTTTCTCTCGTTGTCTTCTCAATGATGTCTTGAGCACTGCCATGTGCAGTTTTAGACTTATTGTGGCATAATGTTATAGAGCGTAGCAGGTTCCGTTTCTCATTCTCCCGGTATGTACTACATATATTTTTCGAATATGTGATCTGCTTTGAGTCAGTTTTTTTTTCGATTGTACACATCTTAGACCATAATAATAGGTTGTTTCCATATTTTTTGTTTTTTGTCCCATGGTCAAGAAATTATCAAAAGTCTGGAAACATCCTTGCCCTAAAGGTAACCGGTGTTGGAATTTTTTGTGCCTAGTCGGTATGAATCCCAACGTAATTTGTTCACTTAAATCTATATCCGTTAAATCTAGAAACTGAATGTTGCCCACTCTCTTCTTTTTAATTGTGCTGTTATGAATCTGTAAAATGCAATCCTTCACAAATTCACTGGCTGATTATACTTGTAATGCTTTAACAATATCAGTTGACGAACAGGTCATGTAGTTACTGCACCCAAAAAATAAATTTTCCGATCTGGCTCAACGTGCTATAAGGCAGAAGTTTTAAGGTAGCGCTGATGTGTTTTCAGTTTTTTTTAAGTTAGCGTCAACGAAATCGAGGATTCTGAAGTACTGAAGCTGTATAATAGCGGGCGCCTAACTAAGAAGTCGCCCATTTCTTGCTGCAAAAGGTGAATAAAGCGGGGAAATCATTCTAGAAGAATGTGGGAGGTCTGAGAATGATGAGATCGGAAGCAGACTTCACGTTAGATACTCAGACAATAAATCGGACCAGCGGCGAGCTGTAATTTGTGGGCGTGGTTTTCTTGCGGACGAGCTGAGTACCCTTGCTACTGAGTTTGCGGCAGCGGACCTTGATTTGACCAGCAGCGGCCCTTTTCAAATGGGAGGGCGTCGTAACATAAACGTGTTAGCTTAAAGGCAGCGTCCAGAGAAATCTGGACATGGGGAACTCACATAAATATTAAATTTGGGGCCCTAACTATCCATTGCCCAACCGGCAGCTCAGGTAGTGCTCTAACGGCTGAGATATTCCCCTCGAACTGGACCCTGGGATCGTATTTTGCATGGATTCATCGCGCAACGCATGAGTCCTGGCGCGAAACTGATGGGTTGCGCCATGAATCCATGCGAATACGATCCTGGTGTTCACTTTGAAGGCGTATAGCTCAGCCGTTAGTGAGTCACCTGCGCTGTCGCTTGGAAAGTATCGTCTGCGCCCCAGAGAGGTTCCCATAGGTACCACGTCATCTCGCTGCCTTTCGCACTTTTGAACGTGTTAACCTCGGGCCTTCCGTTGAAATCTCAGGAGAAACATGTCAAAAAGAGCGAAAGACAGCGTCGCACCACGTACGCACGCTGGTTCACATGGGAACCTCTCTGGGGCGCAGACGGTACCTTGCTAGGGCCCCAAATTAATTTTTCACCTGAAATTCTCATAGGTGCAAATTTGCCTGGACGCTGCCTTTGACTTGGAAGTGTTTACCTTTTTATCTTATCTTCATATCATGAGAGTCATTCTCATATACTATCATTGCGGCTTGAGTGCAGTTAGCTAGCGGTGGTCACTCAGCGACAAGCATGTCAGCGTGTCTGCTCCGCACACTAATGACCTTATTTTTTATATGCTCGTGGAAACCTACCGAAAATCTACGATTTTTCATGACACGAAAGTACATCGAAAACCTACGCCCAAGATGCTAGTTCTGGCGATCGCATAACTTTAGTATGCTAGTTTTTGCTGTAACCTGATCTATCGCATAAAACAGATTAGATTGATCCAGTTGTTTAAATCTTCGCACTCACTTTTCTCGGGCTTTACACCGCCTTCGAGAACATGCCTGGATATCTTCTGGTTTCATGTAACACTTGGAGCGGCGGGCATAGGAAAATGTTCAAGAAATAACTTCAACTACTCTCTTAAAGCCGGCCGAATATCTCAGAAATATGGTTGCGAGGACCTTAGCCAGTACGGCTGTGACAGCTTTCAATTGCCCTTGCTACTATACATGGGTACTTATATTTCGGTATTTCGACTATTTCACTTTCTACTACAGCTATTTCCTTAATACTAATTACCTATCACTAGTAAAGTCAAGTGAAGTATATTTCACTATTTCACGACTTTCATTGTAAAATAGTGGAATAAACTTCACTTGACTTTACTCGTGTTATCATTTGGAGTGACATTTTAAGAGATACTGAGAGAAAAGAGGAATCGGAGGAAGGGATGAGGCATTAATAAACTTGAATAAGGTAGAGGAAGTGTTAAAAGTAAAGGACAAGTTGGTAGGCGCACGGTTCGACAATATTGCCAATATTTAGATTTTGGGGAAGATATGATGGATTTCGAGCTGATGACTTAAAACTTTGGGTTACGTTAATCTTGAAGAGTCTAGTAAGTAAGCACTCAAAGATCGAGAGTTGTTGTGAACTACCAATTAATTCATCAAAGGTTCTACAAGAGACCGATAGAGAAGATAGGAATGAACATTTGAAATGAATTAATACTAGAGTCCTACTAGAACGAATGATGTACTGTCTTATAAGTTCGCAAGTTCGCATTTTATAGCCGCAAAAGCCAAGCAGTGCTGTGCATTCTGTTTCCACTACCATCATCATATCTGTTTTGTTTCTCAGCTCCTATAGATGATAGCTTTCTGGAGTCGCTAAGTATGCTTTTATATTTCTCAGTCTCTCACTTGATGCTGCATAATTTTCCCTGTTGTCAAAGCGTGAGCGAGTGATAGGTGGATCCACTTCAACACAAATGTCCGCAATCGCTGCAAGTGACGGTTGCTCAAATGAAATTACGATCTACCGCGCCAATGACTGTGCGGTCATTCTTTTTCACTTGTCTGAAGAACAGTGGACACCCCATTAAACACGCAGATTTTACAGCGCAAGTTATACACACCATGACTTTTACACTTAGGTACTCAGGAAATAAATGTCAAATTGTTCGTGTTGTTTAATAAAGCTATATCCTTCAAAACTTGTTTTCGTGGTCAAAGTGCGACATTGCGTCCCATAATAAACTTTCACCGAAATGTGTGCGACTTTTGTAATTTTGGAACGGAAGTCACACAGCCATTCTCATTAACCGTGATTTTGTGCTATCGCACTACTTTTTCAGTCTGCTTTCGAGCAGATTGGTACCTGCAGAATCACAACAAAAACTGGGAAACCAGCGCAGATCACTTATAGGCACCAAAGACACAGTATCAAAGTATTTTATTCATAAATTAGTGGAAGTCCAAAAATATTGAGAGTTCATCTTCTACACGTCCCTCGACTGGTCGGTCATTTTGACCGCTCTTCCCCACCCTACCGGACGTCGAACCCCTTGATCCAGGAAGCCCCGGAACAGAGGATCAAGTATGTTCCACCCCAACAACGACTGTTCACACATCGAGTACAACGTGAGACGCCTGCCTAACGAAGACCAACATGAACCGCAAGAAGCCCTGAAGATAACACAACTCAATATACTGGCCCTAACGAGATGGAGAGAAAGAAGAAGCTTGGCACTGGCAATTGGCAAAGAGTAAGATCACTCACGTTAAAAGAGATCAGTTTGTTTGGGTGCCTCATATTGTAATAATATCAAAGGCAAATAAATCATAAAATCATAAATCAAAAATATTGAATTACAAATGGCATCTGTCAAAATGAGCCTGTTGTGTGCATCGTAAGGCTGTGTTCATTACGTATTGCAAATTATGCGCGCTATTTGACGACTTCTGAGATGATCTCTTTATTTCCTTGTTTCTTTTGATATGATCAGATATGCATTCGTTTTTAGTACACATATCTACAGGTTGCTGTGCTAAAAGATTACTGAGAAGTTACTAGTGAAGGAGTCATCGCTTGTTGCGCATGGTCTGCTGATATTAGTTAAAGTTACAGTTACACATATTAGTTAAAAAATGACTAGAGGATACTTACTTTGAATAAACTGGTAACTGTGCATACAAACAAGAAGAAAAGTTACAAAACTTGAACAGCTCAAAATTCAATACGTCGCTGTGGGAAATCTTCTATTTTCTCACTGTGTCATAAACAAAATTTGGCTGAAGGAACCCTTTCCTTTGTCGCACTACTAGATCCTCTTATGAAAAATGGAACAGGAATATGTTGTTTACCAGTGCGCCACCTCTGCTTCGCAGAGGCTCGCACTGGCCCTACTTTCCGTATGCCTTACTCATTCCCGCATAATAGTGACATTGAAACTCACCGCGTTATGCAGGCTATCACAGATAATTTGTAAACAGCTACTCATTCCTAGAGCTTTTTTGTGTGAGATCGGTATTCTCACGGGGATGAAACTTTTCTCAAAAGAGTAAATGCAAATTTGAATAGGTTTGTGGACTATTTGTGGCTTGGTAGTCGCTATAATGGCAATAATCATCGTGGGCTACATCTCTGTGCAAAAACCTTCTCAAGTGATCACGTAAAATCTTGGGAAATTAAACATTTACGCAACTAATTCTTTTTGGCGCCATCTTCGTACAGTAATCAACTTCAGTTGAATTTTCTGGGCTAAAGTCCATGGCTTGTACATTAGCTTGTCAAACATATGCACGACTTTGCAAAAAATTTATATACGGACCCAATTTTGTTGGTCAGAAGTAAAGTGGACCCGTTTCACGCGCAATTTCTAGGGGATCCACTTATCGGATCCGCTTGTGCTTTTGCAAGATGGACTTTCCTGCTGCTAGGATGTACTATGCAAAATTTGGGCTCAAGAGGTTGGCTGGAACTCTCCCTACGAATTTCGTAACGGACAGACAGACAGACACACACACACACACACAAAAAAAAACGTAAACAGCCCTTAGCCCGTTATTATAAGTCATGATAGTATACAGTAAGCAGCTATGTTACCAAGGTTACTTATAATATAACCTAGGAATCTTTGTAGTCAAGCAGTATGGTCTCATCAAACATCTGGCAAATTACTTTTTTCACTTTCATGCATAAAAGATGCCATTTTAGTGCCAGAGTATCAATTAGGAATAGTGAGAAAAGCTACTCTATAAAATAATAAATTGAAAATAACTGCGAGCAAAAAATGCTTCTTGCTCAATTCAAGTCAGCAGATATGATTGCTCATTTACGCTCAGGGTACAAATCTTGAACGATTTTGGTACATTCAGTCCGTTATGTCCACCCATCATCATAATCCTTATGTCAGGGTTTACAGTGGGAGTAAATCAAACTATGTAAAGAGATTTCAAAAAGTGGTTGGGCCATTAGAATGAAAATTCAAACTCCAAATATTGAGACTCCTTGCTGAGAGCCTTTCATCCATGTAACGTCAAAGATGAGAAAAATTGATAGCTTGAATGATGTGAAGGAAATTGTCATAATCGAACGAATGTCTCAAAAATTCTGATTGGAAGCTTCCGGCACCGTTTTCGGGCCTTGGGCATATTGATCTACCACAATAAGATAAAATATACCCGAAGCCCGAAGTTGAGCACCGAACAAGATGAAAAAAACTATATTGAAGACGTAG